AGTAGGCACTCAGTAATATGGGATGATAAGTTAAACCCAGCTTGATTTATTCTTGGCTCTTAAATCTTATTGTTTTAATGGGACAGTGGTTAGGATGTTGAAATGAAAAAAGGACAGTCCTATGGAAAGAAATGTAGAACCTGTGTAGGCAGTCAGAAGCCAGGCCCCAGTGCTGATGTGAAATCAGTTCTCCAGCAGATAGCATTTAGATTGCCATGCAGTATAGGAGTAAAGTTTAAGACTTTTCTTGGTCTTCTTTCTACCAGAACAGGGAAAGAAAAACCCACCAAGGATTGCAGGAGACTCTGGCCTCTGATATCTCTGATGTCCAGAAACAAAGTAGGTTCTGGGAAATTTCCATTTATTCTCCTTTAATAATCACCCTTTCCCTCATAGTTCTCTGATGAGTAGAGCAGCACAGAGCTGAGTTTGGGCACACTCAATAGGTAATGTGCTTTGCTCCCGTGAAGGTGCCTGTTAGCCATCCTCTGGTCTGGGGGCCTGTCCTAGAGTAATAGAAGCCCCCCAGCTCCCGAAAGGAGTGAAGGGAGGCAATGCATGCCTTTCCTCTGCTTCTGATAGTAAAGTTGTGCTCATCATTTCAAAACATTTCCAAGTGAGATGATAAACTTTATAGAAAAGTTGGGAAAGGGCTTGGCGTGGTAGCTCACACCTGTAATTCCAGCACTTTGGGAGGCTGAGGCAGGTGGATCACTTGAGTCCAGGAGCTTGAGACCAGCCTGGCCAACATGCCAAAACCCCATCTCTACAAAAAAAAAAAAAAAAAAAAAAATAGCTGGACATGGTGGCGTACACCTGTAATCCCAGCTACTCAGGAGGCTGAGGCAAAAGAATTGCTTGAAACCGGGGGGCGGTGGGGGCAGCCGGGGGGAGGTTGCAGTGAGCCAAGATAACTCCAGCCTGGGCAACAGAGCAAGACTTTGTCTCAAAAAAGAAAAGTTAGGAGGGTTGTGTTTTCCTTTTCTGCTATTAGAGAATGATCTCTTCCCTTTGGAGCATTAGTGTTAATATCGAAGTTGCAGAGGCTGGGAGCAGTGGCTCATGCCTGTAATCCCAGCACTTTGGGAGGCCGAGGGGGCAGATCACAAGGTCAGGATATCAAGACCATCCTGGCTAACTTAGTGAAAACCTGTATCTACAAAAAAAAAATACTGAAGTTACAGATGGATGCTTTGCAAGGGTTGGGAATGCATATCAAGCTTTTGCCCTCTCTACTTGATAATCTTTTACCCAGCATGAGGATTCAATGTGGATTGCCGTTATCACAGAAACAGGGATGTAAGCAAGTGAGTCCTTCAACCACTTGTCATTCTCTGTGAAGACATACCAGCCAGAGTGCATGGCTGGAACTTGAGCTGGGTAAATATCCCCAGAGCCTGACTAAAAACACTCTAAGGTCAGAATAGCATATTACTGAACTGAGATGAAATTGGGAAGGTCAGAACAAACAATTTACCTAGCTTTAAAGAACTCTTGGTGTGAGGTTGCCTCTGGCTCATACTGGGTATTCTGCCTTCTACTCACATGAAAACAACCTATGGACGAATATCTTGTTCCTGCCTGATTGTTTTCCTTACAGATTCTGAGTGGGGACACAGCCTGCCAGGGCCAACTGTCCCACTGCTGCAGCACAACTCATCACCTAAGGAGCAAGGAGGCAGTGGCTTCATTGAGTTTGTAAGGTAAGACAGCTTCTATCCAGCCATCAGACTCTGGAGATCCAGCTCAGAGCAGCTCACTGTGTCTTTCAGGGGAAATTAGAATAGAAAAGAAAGCAGATTACTTACACAGGCTTCTCAATTATGTCTAGGATAGATGATGGAGATGAGATTGAGAACAAAAGCCCTAATTGTGCATTTTTTAAAATTTATTATTATTATTATTTGCATTTTAGGTTTTGGGGTACATGTGAAGAACATGTAAGATTGTTGCATAGGTACACACATGGCAGTGTGGTTTGCTGCCTTCTTCCCCATCACCTATATCTGGTGTTTCTCCCCATGTTTTCCTCCCCAACTCCCCACCCCGAGCTGTCCTTCCCCACAGACTCCAGTGTATGATGCTCCCCTCCATATGTTCTCATTATTCAACACCCACCTATGAGTGAAAACATGTGGTGTTTGATTTTCTGTTCTTGTGTCAGTTTGCTGAGAATGATGGTTTCCAGGTTCATCCATGTCCCTACAAAGGACACGAACTCACCGTTTTTTATGGCTGCATAGTATTCCATGGTGTATATGTGCTACATTTTCACTGTCCAGTCTATCATCGATGGGCATTTAGGTTGGTTCCAAGTCTTTGCTATTGTAAACAGTGCTGCAGTGAACATTCTTGTGCATGTGTCCTTATAATAGAACGATTTATAATCCTTTCGATATATACCCAGTAATGGGATTGCTGGGTCAAATGGAATTTCTATTTCTAGGTCCTTCAGGAATTGCCACACTGCCTTCCACAATGGTTGAACTAATTTACACTCCCACCAACAGTGTAAAAGTGTTCCTATTTCTCCACATCCTCTCCAGCATCTGTTGTCTCCAGATTTTTTAATGATCGCCATTCTAACTAGCGTGAGATGGTATCTCAATGTAGTTTTGATTTGCATTTCTCTAATGACCAGTGATGACGAGAATTTTTTCATATGTTTGTTGGCCTCATATGTCTTCTTTTGTAAAGTGTCTGTTCATATCCTTTGCTCACTTTTGAATGGGCTTGTTTGTTTATTCTTATAAATCTGTTTTAGTTCCTTGTAGATTGTGGATATTAGCCCTTTGTCACATGAGTCGATTGCAAAAATTTTTTCCTGATCTGTTGGTTGCCGATTCACTCTAATGACTGTTTCTTTTGCTGTGCAGAAGCTGTGGAGTTTGATTAGGTACCATTTGTCTATTTTGGCTTTTGTTGCCAATGCTTTTGGTGTTTTAGTCATCCTTGCCTATGCCTATGTCCTGAATGGTTTTGCCTAGGTTTTCTTCTAGGGTTTGTATGGTGTTACATCTTCTGTTTAAGTCTTTAATCCATCTGGAGTTAATTTTAGTGTAAGGTGTCAGGAAGGGGTCCAGTTTCTGCTTTCTGCACGTGGCTAGCCAGTTTTCCCAATGCCATTTATTAAACAGGGAATCCTTTCCCTATTGCTTGTTTTTGTCAGGTTTGTCAAAGATCAGATGGTTGTAGATGTGTGGCGTTGCCTCCAAGGTTCTGTTCCATTGGTCTATATCTCTGTTTTGGTACCAGTACCATGCTGTTTTGATTACTGTAGCCTTGTAGTATAGTTTGAAGTCAGATAGTGTGATGCCTCCAGCTTTGTTCTTTTTGGTTAGAACTGACTTGGCTATGCAGGCTCTCTTTTGGTTCCATATGAAGTTTAAGGTGGTTTTTTCCAGTTCTGTGAAGAAGGTCATTGGTAGCTTGATGGGGATAGCGTTGAATCTGTAAATTACTTTGGGCAGTATGGCCATTTTCACGATACTCATTCTTCCTAACCATGAGCATGGAATGTTTCTCCATCTGTTTGTGTCCTCTCTTATTTTGTTGAGCAGTGGTTTGTAGTTTTCCTTAAAGAGGTCCTTTACATTTTTTGTTAGTTGTATTCCTAGGCATTTCATTCTCTTTGTAGCAATTGTGAATGGCAGTTCGTTCTTGATTTGGCTCTCTTTAAGTCTGCTATTGGTGTATAGGAATGCTTGTGATTTTTGCGCATTGATTTTGTATCCTGAGACTTTCCTGAAGTTGCTTATCAGTTTCAGGAGATTTTGGGCTGAGACTAATTGTGCATTTAGTAAAGACTGTGTCTTACTCATTTTTATACAACTCACCTCTACCCTGATGTGTCCAGCATAAAGCCTAGCTCCATAAACATTAACTTGGACCGGGGGCGATGGCTCATGCCTATAATCCCAGCACTTTGGGAGGCTGAGGCAGGTGCATCACCTGAGATCAGAAGTTCAAGACCAGCCTGGCCAACATGGTGAAACCCCATTTGTACTAAAAATACAAAAATTAGCCAGGCATGGGGGCATGTGCCTGTAATCCCAGCTACTAGGGGGTGCTGAGGCAGGAGAATTGCTTGAACCTAAGAGGCAGAGGTTGTAGCGAGCCGAGATTGTGCCACTACACTCCAGCCTGGGCGACAAAGTGAGACTCGTCTCAAAACAAACAAACAAACAAAAAACATTAACTTGTACAAAATCTATTCTTATTTTATTGAGCCATTTAGAAGATTTGGTTACCAAAACATTTCCATTCTCCCCTCTGAATCTAGGTTGTGTTTGCAGAGGATAGTTACAAATGTCTCTCTCTCTTTCTCTCTCTCAGCCATCCCATTGCAATTCTCTTTCTTTATTTCCCCCTCCTGAGTGTAATCTAATTGGAGTACCTTTTCAAATGCCATTCCAGTCTTGAATTTCCATTCAATGGTTCCCCAGAGCAAAAATGCCCTAGCTAGTGGAGCACTAATGGGAAATGGGGAGAAGGGAAGGAGACCTCATAGAGTCTCAGCCTACTCTGCTCTTATTCCTGCAGCTCTCTCTTCCCGATTCGATATTTCTTCAGGAAGAGCAGCCACTCTTGAGCCTTCCAAATGCAGCGCTGGAAAGAGGATCATCTCTTGCAATGACTCTTCCTGAGCCATTCTTCCTCCAACTCTATCCTTTTCTTATGACACTTCAGTCGTAGGGAATGAGGTCCCCATACTGAGTCCTCTGTGGGTTTATCCTGTCCTTTGCCCCTTTATAATATATTTTGTTTCCCAATTTAAAACATTAAGAAAAGAATGGAACTTTCTAAAATGTTCATGTCCTAAGGGCCAGTTTAGGCCTTTTGTCTTCAGCACTTAGAATCCTAATGACAATAAATTATTTATGCAGAGTTATTGATTGAATTTAGTGGAACAGAATAAGAGAGAACAAATTCTTCCCTCAAGATACAGAGAAAATGCGTGAAACGTCCCTAGGTCTACCTGGTTACTGTTCACAGGATCACTTTGGGTATGTCAGTCTGTGCCAGGATTTAGGGAATAGGGTCTTTCAAGACTCACTGTCCTGAGCCTTGCTCACCCAAGAGATCTCTTCCTCAGTTCCAGTTTGGCCCCAAATGATAGCCTCTCCATAGACAAAATGTTTCCCACTTCTCTATCCCTCTAGCTGTTTGACAGTAATGCAGATTCGTTTATCAGATTAACTGGAAGTCAGTCCAGGCTGGCACCCCTAGAGAAGGCCTGGGCACCTGAGCTGCCTTTAACTAAAGGGCTGATCTGGAACAGACACTAGAGCCTTGTGTGGCCATGGAGAACCAAAATGATCTATGGAAATGTAGGGAAACTTGTTTGAGCTCACAACAAAGAAGTCACTTTTTACCAGTGAGAGATGTCTAATATTACAATGGGCTACCTTGTAAGGTAATGAGACTTGTCACCCAAATGCTTTAAACAGAGGTGATCATCTGTCACACTCACAGGGTGCCCCTCATGAGTGAGAGAGTAGGGGCTGGACTGTTACAGAGGACCCGTCAAACCAGGATCCAGGACTTGAGGGGATGGGGGGCTGATTGGGAAACCGTAGAGTGTGGGGATTTAAGGATTAGTGACATTGGTAACACTAATTCCTCTCAAATTATGTTTATAGCCTTTACTATTCCCAAAGATGGCCTGCTTTACAAAGCTGCTAAGAAGCACGGCTCCAAATCTGGAGCTGTGAGTGCCCACCAACTCTGACTAGCTTACAGTGAAGCTTTGGGAAGTTGTTTTCCTCTGAGCTTTTATTTTCTCATCCAGAAAATGAGGGGGTAAGAATTGGTGAGTTATAAAATGCCTTCTACTTCTACCTCTGGCAGTCTGTGTGACTGGTCCTGTTCTTTCTGAGCTGGACAGTGAGGCAGTGACCTTGAAGGGGGCTGCCCAGAATCACCCACCACAGGCTTCCTTTGGCTCTCTACCCTGCCCCAACCCCTCTAGCCACTGCTGCCTAGGGGTCTTTTTCCAACTTGCCACATTCTTGCTCCAAGTTTAGCACCATGGATGGACAACAGATTTGGGTTTGAAATCAGCCCTGACATTAACTAGCTGGGTGACTTCTAGTGACTTTCCTTCTTTGAGCCTTAGTTGCCTCATCTATAAAACCAGAGCTGGACAAATCAATCAGCTTTGCTGGGATCGATGACTTCAGGCCCTTTCAGGAGTCAGGTCCCTGTTATTCCAGGGCTAGAGGGGCACTCCAGCTCAGAACATAACTCCGTAGCACAGGATGCGAATCATCCACCTGACACCGTGGCCATGCAGTTCTGAAACAGACAGCAACCCGCAACCCCCTGGCTCTACCACCAAGCACATCTCAGGAGACATCCACTGGTATAATTTCCCTTGTCCCTAAGAAGGGGTTAGGGTCCCAAAGAAGGAGTTCCCCAGTCTCTTTCCTTTGCAGTTAGAAAAAGGCCAGCAAGGCTGAATTTAGTGGTTTTAAAGTTAGGGGTGTGGCCAGGCACAGTGTCTCATGCCTGTAATCCCAGCACTTGGAGGCCTAGGCAGGCAGATCCCTTGAGCTTAGCAGTTCAAGACCATCCTAGGCAACATGGCAAAATCCCATCTCTACAAAAAAATACAAAGGTTAGCTGGTCATAGTGGTGCGCCTATGGTCCCAGCTACTCAAGAGGCTAAGGTGGGAGGATGGCTTGAGCCTGGGAGTCTGAGAGGCAGAGGTTGCAGTGAGCTGTGATAGCGCCACACACTCCAGCCTGGGCGACAGAGCCAGACTCTCTCAAAATAATAGTAATAAATGACAATAAAGTTAGGGGTGATCAGGCCCTGAACAGGGAAGTGTTCTGTGCAAGGTCACACAGCAAAGAAGATAACCCAGGTGCCCACATCTCAGCCGAGAGTCTTGACCCCTCTGTCATCAGTTGCACACATGCTGCACACTCCACCAGCTCCTGGGTTTCTCTACACATCTGACTTCTCCAGGCCCGGACTGTGGGTGGCTTTTTGGACAGAAGGAAGCAGAAAACAGCAGGAGCTACTCTCCAAGGACCACACCTCAAACAGCAAGATGCCCCAGGTGGGATCGAAATGAGGCTTCAGGCAGGGGAGGCTGGCCTGAAAGCCGATCTCCAAGAGGGCGTGGCTCCAAAACCTGGCAAATAAAAGCCTGGAGAGCCAGCACCAGTCTGGAGACCAGCGGGAGGCACAGGAAAACTGCAAGCCGCTCTGTTCCTGGGCCTCGGAAGTGGTGAGCTCGCAGAGGCAAGAGAAGCTCTGGGGAGGGCCTGGGAATGTGGACGAGGGCCCTGCAGGCCAAGATGGGCAGATGGAGGGAGGAAGATGTTTGTGCTCCAGATGGTGAAGGAAATTCCAGGGAAGGGAGAATCATTGCACAGTGGGCTGACAACACAGGTCCTATCCAGAGACACCTGCTCACACTCACACCTGTACACGCACACACAGAGAAAGGTAGATGTAAGGAAAAGGCAGCACCATTCAGGCACTCCTCACCTGTCAGACCAGCCAGCCCTGGCTTACTCACCTGGAATGCAGTATTTAAAGAACTCACCATCCCACCTCCACACCCACGTAGAAACATCTCCCCACTGTGTTTCAGATGCTCATGGCGTCCCCCCAAACCCTGGTCCTCTGTCTGCTGGTCCTGGCAGTCAGTGAAGACTGGGGCCAAGAGGCAGCCATCCCAGGCTGCCACCTGCACCGTGAGTACCTCTGGGACCAGAGGACTAGGAGGAGTGGAGGTTCTGGGTGGGAGCGAAGAGCTGATAGACTGGACGGTGGGGTAGGCAGCAACCTAGAGGGCCCCATGCTGAGGCACAGGCGACAGGAGCTGGGGCGAGGCGAACCTTCGCAGAGGCGCCGTCCACTGCTTGTCTCCCTCTAGCCTTCAATGTGACAGTGCGAAGTGACCGCCAAGGCACCTGCCAGGGCTCCCATGTGGCACAGGCCTGTGTGGGCCACTGTGAGTCCAGCGCCTTCCCTTCTCGGTACTCTGTGCTGGTGGCCAGTGGCTACCGACACAACATCACCTCTGTCTCTCAGTGCTGCACCATCAGTGGTCTGAAGAAGGTAAGGAGGGCCCGAGCCTGGTGGGTGGATGTTGGGGTGGGAGGAAGACGCGGGAGATGGAGACCCTGAGAAAGGGGCCTGCAGCACTGACTCCCCTCCTGCAGGTGAAAGTACAGCTGCACTGTGTGGGGAGCCAGAGGGAGGAGCTCGAGATCTTCACCGCCCGGGCCTGCCAGTGTGACATGTGTCGCCTCTCACGCTACTAGCCCATCCTCTCCCCTCCTTCCTCCCCTGGGGCACAGGGCTTGCCATTCTGATGGGGAAAACCTGGGTTTGAGATTCAAAAACTGGAAGGAACTCCAACCCTGCTGGTTACTTGCTATGGAATTTTTTTAAGTAACAGGGGGTTGTTCCAGCTCTGACCCTCATGAGATTTTGTGACTGTCACCTCCTGAGAAGAGGGGAGTTTCTGCTTCTTCCCTGCCTCTCTCTGGCTCTTCTAAACCAATCTTTCATCATTTTACTTCCCTCTTTTCCCTTAACCCTAAATAAAGCAAGCAGTTCTTGAGTTTCTCTCTTTATTAAGTCTACCCCCAGCCAGGGAAAGAGGGTAGACCATGATTACTATGACCCCCCCCTTACCCCAGGACACTGTGAATCTCTTCTTGCCTGTGCCCTCACCCTCCCCCTGCCCAATAAATAAAAAGGGGACAAGGAAGTACACAGCGAGGGAGGGAAGGAGTGTGCCCCCAGGACAGTGTCTTTGTAGAGGGTGAGCTGGGAGAGAATAAATAGACCATGGACCCCATAGTGATGAGGAAAGACCTCGTGCTGGCCAAGGCAGGGGCAGGCGAGGCGCTGAGTGCCCTTGCCCAAGGCCAGGAGCAGAGGGTGGGAGCCTGCCTGCAGCCTGGAGCCCAGCTTTGCGGGGCAGGGGAAGATCCCTGATGGCAGCTTCCTGGTCAAGCTTGCCCTTGTCAAGTCCTGCCACGAGGGGCTGAGCATTCTGTTGCCAAGACCACCATCGCCTCTCCTCCTCTCCCCCCAGTGAAAGCTGGGCCGGGCAGGGAGTCCTCAGAAGCCACTCTGGCAAGGCCAGGGGTAGGTGTGTTTCTCTCTGGGCCCCTGGACAGGAGAAGGGATAGAGGGACTGACAGCTCTGGGTTTAGCTTCTCCTCTTCTGAGGTGCTGTCTAGCTCTGACCCCCACTGGTGGCCACCTGGGGTGTAAGCCGCTGGAAGGGAGCCTCCTTGGCCCCCTGGGTCCCCTGTAGCCGGCGTAGCCGCAGCTCCTCCAAACCTTGCCATAACTCCTGACGCTCCTGGGCCTTCTGCTGCTCCCTGGGGAGAGAAAGTGAGGCAGCTCTCCTTCCTGGCCACCCCCCTACCACAGTCCAGACTCCCTCACTACCACCCCACTGGCAAAGGGAAGGCATGGAACGATTTTTGTTCAGTGACTCCATAAAAACCCTCTGCTGAGGGAAGAGAGAGAGGAGAGACTGATGCCAGCCTGCGGTCACGGAGAAGATGATGGGTGGGGCTCTGAGTGGTTCTGGCTGAAGAGTAGGAAGCTACAGAGAGAACAAGTCCAAGCTACTCGAAGAATGATGGGAAGATACACGGGCAGGCAGTCAGGCACAGGATGGCAGGAGCATGGAGAGACTTGCGGACTTGTGGCATCTCATCAGATAGGGTTTGGAGTGGTCCTTGGGTTCCCTCCAGCCATGGGCGGTCTCATTCCTCCCTGTTGTTCTCCCTTCCCCCACACCCAGCCCCCAACACTCACTGCTGCTTTTCCAGCTTGTAGGAGGCTGTGAGCTCATCAAACAGCTTCCCATTCATCTCCATGAAGGTCTTGAGCACATTGTAGATCAGCGATACGATGGTTCTTGGCAGGGTTAAGGAAGGACAAGGAGATGAAACAGCTTCCGTTTGCCCACCTCCCCCTTTCCCTGCCCTTCGAATATAGCATTCCACACCGAACACAAGCACTGCCCACTTCCCTGTCCTTTTCACCACCCTGGGGCCATCTTTTGGCGCTTTCTCTGATGCTCTCCAGCTTGGAGTAACCCCAGGGTCTGGACTGGCTGGCTCTGGTCCTAGTTTCTGTGAGTTAGGTCAAGGCCTGGCACTCACTGGTTCCAGTGCTCCTTGGAGACTTGGTAGAGGGTCCCAAACACAGCAGGCAGCACAGTGTGGCAGTTGTCCTCAATGAGGCTTAGGATATACTCATTGTTCCAGAAATACAGAGCCCGCTCTGCAACCTGGGGCAGACAAGATGGCAGAGTGAGTGACTGGCAGTGGCGTCTCTGTATGCAAGGTCTGGTGTCCATCACTACCTCAAAGCCCAGGCCCCCCGACCTTCACATATCCCACCTTCAGGGCTCATCTGAGCCCCAGGAAGCAACTTGTTGAAGGGAAAAGAGCACTAGATACAGAATCCAATGCTGCGGGGTGAATCCTAACCACTACAGGCTCCACTATGCCATGTCACCTTGGGAGAGGCATTTAACCTTCCAGCCTCAGTTTTCTCATCTGTAAAATGGGGCTAATAATACCTATCTCCACAGGCTGTTAGAAGAATCAAATGAGATACTATACGTGTAGGTATTTAATGAACTGAAGTGCCAGAATCACTGTGAGGAAGACTTGACTTCCACTGGATTATGGCCCATGAGAACGAGAGGAAGTCTGCACATGCCTGCAGCAGAACGTGAGTTAGAGCTAGCTGGGATGACGCGGGGAAGCCTGGCTGCAGCCCAAAGCGAGTCTAATGAAATCTAAGGCCACTAGCAAAAGGAGAAAGTGATAACAGCCCTCCATCCCATTCTGGAGTACACTTCAGTTTACCACACATGTTTACACTCACAATCTCTTCCATCCTCATCACCACCCTGTGAAGAGATGGTTGGCCCATTTTACAGCTGAGGAAACTTAATCAGAATCAGAGTGGCCCAGCGATTTCCTCAAGGTCCCTCAGCCAGTGGAAAGCAGAGCCAAGGCTTCACCCTAGGTCTCCTGACCCTAAGTCCAGCATCTCCCCATTACCAGACCCGGGACTGGAGGAGAAACCGAGGGCAAAGGGAGCTGCATTAGGTCAACTACCCAATCTTTCCAGGCCAACCCTGCTCCCATCCCGCCTGTCCTGCCTCATACCTGGAAATGGGGGCTGGAAACACAGCGAGCCACCTGCTTAAAAAGGGGCTCCTGGATCTTCACAAACTGGGACGGCTCGATGACATCAAGAATTTCTTCCATCTCCCCCAGAAACATCACCTGGGTGAGGTGGGGAAGGGAGTAGGGACAGAGGGGCAGCAGCTCACATCTCGCCCCACACATACACACCCTGACTGCCTTCTAGAGGCCGAGCCCCTCCAGCCTCCCTGTGGTGGGCATCAAAGCCCTTCTTCATACCTCCTTCTGGGTGCAGGTTTTTGGCCAGTATTTGAGCAGTCCCCGGATCACCTGTGGGAGTTGAGACAGAAAGGAGTCACGCCTGCAGAGGTGAGAGGCTGCCTTAGCCCCCAGAGGTACTCACGTGCTCGGTTAGAGTGGCATCCTTCTCCAGGAACTGTACCACACAGTATGCCAGCTGCAAGGGGTGAGAGGTGGAGAGACGGAAGATGGGTCAGGAAGGTACCAGGTGCCAAGGACTTGCTGCCCAGGGCAGAATGCCAGACACTGTTCACCCACTGCCTGTCACTTTCTTGTTTTGTTTTGTTTTGTTGAGACAGAGTCTCATTCCATCGCCCAGGCTGACGTGCAGTGGCACAATCTCTGCTCACTGCAACCTCCGCCTCCTGGGTTTAAGCAATTCCCCTGCCTCAGCCTCCTGAGTAGCTGAGACTACAGGTGCGCACCACAAAGCCTGACTAATTTTTTGTATTTTAGTAGAGACGGGGTTTCACCATGTTGGCCAGGATGGCCTCGATCTCCTGACCTCGTGATCTGCCCGTCTCGACTTCCCAAAGTGCTGGAATTACAGGCGTGAGCCACCACGCCCAGCCGCCTGTCACTGTCTTATTCATCAAGCATTTATCACCTGCCTATGCACCAGGCATCACACGCAGCGTGCTGGGAATACAACTACGATCTCGTGGAAGGGACAGTCAACAAACTCATCTTTACACATTTTGCAAAAGGTTCTGTAATATGGCTAGCGGAGGTTCACGCCTGTAATCCAAGCACTTTGGGAGACTGAGGCAGCAGAATCACTTGAGTCCAAGAGTGACCAGCCTAGATAACATAGCAAGACACTGTCTCTACAAAAAAAAAAAAAAATTAATTAGCCAGGCCTGGTGGCATACGTCTGTGGTCCCAGCTACTCTGGAGGCCGAGGAGGAAGGACTGCTTGAGCCCAGGAGGTAGAGGTTTCAGTGAGCCATGTTCATACCACTGCTCTCCAGCCTAGGCAACAGAGTGGGGTTCTATTTCAAAAAAATTTTAAAAAGATTTGTGTATCAAAATCTCCCATAATAGATTTGTGTATCCAAATCTTTGGGAATATAGAAGAAGGAGAATTTAATTCTGCCTAAGGAGGGGAGAGAAGAAAAGCCTGGCTTCAAAAAAAAGAAAAAAGAAAAAAAAGAAAAGCCTGGTTTCACAGAGCTGATATCTGAGGTTAGCCTTAAAGAGCCAGTGGGAATTCTCTAAGGCTGATGGAACAGAATTCTAAAGACGAAGGTGAGATGGGCTCCCTGGAGGATCTGACCTCCAGGAGTCACTGACTATCCCGAACTCCGCTGCAGCGGGGCCAGGCCTGGGCCTCACCTGGGCGTGAAAGACAGACAGCGACTTGACAGAGTGCAGGGGGATTAGGACGCGAACCAGAAACTGCTTGTGCTCCGTCTTCAGGGGCAGCGCAAAGCCATTGATGATGCTGAGGAGGAGGCAGAAGAGAGGAAGGGGGGCTCAGGTGACCTGGCCCTCCTTCCATAATCGAGCTCCAGCTGAGGCCCAGGGAGAATCACCTTCCTAGGATCTCCAGCAGCTCAGCCACACCATTGAAGTGCTCAAATTCATAGATGAACCTGCAAGAGAAGAACCCAGGCGGGCTCAGTGCAAGCAGGGTAGGCCCAGTGCCTCCTTAGGCATCCTGCCTACGCACCCTCACCCACATGGGATGCTCATCCAACTCTCCCAAGCTAGAGGCTGTGCTCCCTTCTCAACATCCCAAACCAGGCCCCACTGAGATCCACTCCTCCCACTGAAATGCCCTTCTCAGCCCAGCCACCTCTGCCACTGAGTCCCAAGCTCAAGGCTCTCTTGCCAGTCAACCAAGAAAATGACAAACACTTAGTGCATCTACTCTGTACCATGTAAGTCTCAACATTATCCAGGAAGATGGGGCTTATGAAATCCATCACATGGATGAAGAAACCAAGACTCAGAGGTTAAATGAAACAACCCCAATGTTATAGTCAGGGAATCTAATGGATTCCAAAGTGCAGGAGGACAGGGATCATGGCTCACCCACTTTGTAGCTAATAACAATAACAGCCAATGTTTCAGGGTCCCGGCCTCAGTCCAGGAGTTATGCTGAGTGCTTTGGAGGCAAGGCCCCAAGCCACCTTGATGATGGTACCTGAGTTAGTACAAGCAGCATCCCTATTCTAGTCTATCCTATCCTATTTTATTTTTTGAGATGGAATCTCACTCTGTCACCCAGGCAGGAGTGCACTGGCACAGTCTTGGCTCACTGCAACCTCCGCCTCCTGGGCTCAAGTGATTCTCCTGTCTCAGCCTCCTGAGTAGCTGGGATTACGGGTGCATGCTACCATGTCCAGCTAATTTTTGTATTTTGTAGAGACGGGGTTTCACCATGTTGGCCAGGCTGGTCTTGAACTCCTGATCTCAAGTAATATGCCAACCTCGGATTCCCAAAGTGCTGGGATTACAGGTGTGAGCCACCGTGCCCAGTCAGCATCCCCATTTTAAAGACAAGCAAACTAGGAAAAAACTTAAGTAATTTGCCCAAGTTCACCAAACATTGGAACCAAACTCAAATGCAGGCCATATACCTCAGGAGCCATGGTCTCAACTACCAGGCCACATGAGCCTTGATGCCCAGTGGGTGCTGGTGCTCAATGCATGTTTGCAGAAAGAATCTCTCTTTGGGTCCTTATGGCCTGGCATGATAGGGTCAAAAGACTTAGCTCCCAGGCCACTGGACTGACAAGTCCCTGCAAACCACTTCTCTTGGCTCTACTTCCTCATTTGTAAAATGGAAATAAATAGCCATTCTTGCTGACTTCACAGGGTTTGTATAATCAGTATTATGTAATACGCAACTGAGAAAGGGCTTGGAAAACCAAAGTTCCACGAGGGCCCCTGCAGCCCAGGAGCCTTTGCCGCAGTCTTGTTTTTGTTTGTTTGTTTGTTTTGTTTTTTTGAGACACAGTCTCCTTCTATTGCCCAGGCGGGAGTACAATGGCAGGTCTCTGCTGGGCAGGTAGCAGCCACTCACCGGAGGAAGATGTGGTTGCACTGTTTGCGGATGTAGGCCCGGAGACCCAGGAACTTGCCATAGACCCTGTGCAGGATGGTCTTGAGGTACTCACGCTCCCGGGGGTCCTCGCTATCAAATAGCTCCAGCAGCTGTGGGACCCAGAGTCAAGGTCAGGGGAGAGGTCCACCCCAGGTTGCTTCCATCCTATCCCTGGCCCCTCAGAGAGCCTGCCCCTGCCTTGTGGTACCACCCAGCCTGGGCTCCCCACTTCACCATCAGGACAAACTTTTGGTCCACATATCTCTTGGCCACGGAGGGCTGGAAGTCGGGGCTCTCCAAGAAACGCAGGAAAAACTCATATACCAGCTGGGGGAGGGGGACAGACAAAAAGGTGAGTTCAGTAATAGCCTCACCCACTCACTCCACCCTATGGTCCTCATCCAACAGTCTAGGGGCTAAGGAGGCCCTCTCCCCATGCCTTGGCTCTCTGCCGAAACCTCGATCTCTGCTTTCCCCAACCCTTCAGACCTGCAGGTGGGGCCACGAAGGCTCAAGGTTGGGCTCATCCTCTTCAGGGTCAAATTCAGGGTTCTCACTGGGCGGCAGAGTCCGGAAGATATTCACTGAGATCTGAGTGGTAGAGGTGGGGCTCATTAAGGAAGAGCCCTTGAAGGCAGAAGCCAGGGAGTCCCTCATTCAAAGTTCTTTTTTTTTTTTTTTTCCCCAAGACAGGGTCTCACTCTGTTGCCAAAGCTGGAGTGCAGTGGTGCAATCTTGACTCACTGCAACGTCAACCCCCCAGGCTCGAGTGATTCTCCCACCTCAGCCCTTCTGAGTAGCCGGACTACAGTAGCTCACCACCATGCCCAGCAAATTTTTAAATTTTGTGGTGAGGAGGTCTCACTGTCAGGCTGGTCTCTAACCCCTTGCCTCAAGTGATCTTCCCACCTTGGCCAAAGTGCTAGGATTACAGGTGTGAGCTGCTGCACCAGGCCCTCATTCAAACTTCTAATGTGTTGGTTTCAGCACCTTCCCCAGCAAGCAGTTCATTCCTTGGGCAATCATCACCTGAATGCCTAGTTCATGCAAGCCCTGGGCCAGGGGCTGGGAACCCAAGGGTGAATGAGACACATCCCTGCGTCTAGGCAGGTGCAATCCAGTGAGGAGAACAAGGTCAAAAGCTGTGCGGTCTACGGGCATTTTGGGCAGGGAAAGGGAGATTTCCAGCTTAGGCATTGAGAGCGGCTTCTCTGAGAGGTGGCACCTGAGCCATGGATGGTAAGGGGTATGGGCAGGGCACTCCAGGCCTCCGGCAAGCATAAGCAAAGGTGTGGAGGTGGGGCAGGCCCAGAGGCATTCAGTGGGTGTCAGGCAGCAGCAGGTGGAGGGGAAGGAAGACGTGGACTGGAGGCCAAGACGATAACTGCAACGTTACTCTCCATGCAGGGGTCCTATGGACAGTCACCGGGCTCACACACCCTCTTGGCCAGCCCTCAGAGCCTGGGTAGCAGGTGCTCACCATGCGGATGATGTCTGGGTAGACAGGCTCGATGAGGACACCCCGGGTGCTCCCCACACACTCCACCAGCTCGTTGAGTGCTGCCCGCTTCACCTCCTTCCCCTTGAGGTCGGCCACGCAGTCCAAGAAGTCAAACATCACCCCACACTGGGCTAACTTCCGGCTCAGCAGCTCATGCAGCTCAGAGGCCGGCACATCTGAGGAGGTGAGGGCGTCCTGAGCCTGGGCTCCAGCTGCCCCAGCTCTGGGTGGGGCGGACCCTCCTAATCTGCAGGGCAGCCCCTGCCATCCCCAGGCTCCATGCTCTTGTGCCATCTCCCGCTCCTTGCAGACAGCAAACAACTGTCCCTTCCTTCATTCCTAGGGGTTGAGGGTTGTTTTTCTTCCCCCTTATCCAGGCTCAGAGTATGGTGGCCTGATTTTAAAGCAAGATCACAAACCTGGATGCAGGGGCTTTCCACAGGTGCCCCAAATAGCCACTGCCTCCCTCTTGGGTGGCACCCTGTTCTAAGGGCCAGAAGCGGGGAGGGGTTCAGGGCCAAGGATCTCTACAGTGCCCTCAGGCTTGGCCAGTCTGGCCCTATGGGCCCAGGGCTGGGGAAGGGAGCTACGTGGTGATCCCAGGGAACCCTGCCAAGCTCCTGCTCCAGGACTCTGGCAGCTGGCTGGGCTGATAGTGGCCCCCTGGAACTCAGGCTCTGGGCCCCACCCTTGGCCCTGGTCTGCCCCTAGGGTGGTGCCACCTTCAGATGTCCCACCTCCAAGGATGACAGGCCAGTCAGGCCATGCGTCAGCAGGAGAGAGGGCTGGAGGGCTGGGGTCTGTTCTGACAGTGGAGTCCCTAGCCTGGAGGGGCCATCCAAACTCCCTCTCTTGGCAGCTGCCGGCTGCTTCCCACCCCACCCCACGGCCCTGTTGGTCCCCTCGGGGGCTCGGTTCCCCCCGGTGGCCAGCAGCCAGCTCACCTTTGAGCAGGGGCAGCGGTGTGAGCTCCTGCTGGTTGCTCTGATAGCGGAACTGAGAGGAGCTGTGGGAGCGGCGGGGCCGGGCCCTACGGAGGGAACGGCGGGAGAAGCCGTCCACCTTGTCGGGTGGGGGCACCGGTGACAGCCCAGGGGAGGATGGGCTGGTGGGGGTGCTTGCAGGGGGCAGCTTCGTCTCCATAGCAGTCAGGTGGCAGGTCGAGCTTTCAGAGCCCTGGGGGTTCTCTCTGGGCCTGGGAGGTGCTGGGTAAGACTGCACAGACTAACTTGGTCCCATCCTGTCGGGGCGTGGGGGGGGGCACAACCACAGTCCTGGGCCCCCCCCCAGGGCCTCTGGCAACTGCCCAGTCCTGGGGGGCAGGCAGAGCAGAAAGGAGGATGGCTCAGGCCTCAGGTCCTTCCTGGGGGTCCGGAAGAGTCCAGTTAGGGTTCCCACCCTGGCTGTTTTGAAAACGGTCAGGCAGTCAGGTCAGCAAGAAATAGAGAGAAACCCGTCAGTTCCTCAGGAGAGCCCAGAGGCTTCGCGGAGCGTCCAGGTCTTTTCCCTCCTATCCTTGCCCAGACCCTAAAATAGGGGTGCAGCCCCCTCGCACCCTGCATACGTCCCTCCCGTCTTTCAGATAGAAAGGCTCCAAAACAACCCCTCCTAGAATAGGGCCTATCCCCCAAGCCAGCCGGGATTCAGAATGGAGCCCCGATCCCTGCCCCTTGCAGAATGGAACGCATCACTGCTCCACTAACCCCGGCCACTTGGGACAACCCCAAGACTGGAGGCCCCGTCCCCATGCCACCCGGCTCCTAGAACCCGGCACCCTCCCCCACCTCAGCTCCTCTTTCCTGGTTCTCCAAACCACATGGGGTGGGGGACACTCACTTCTCAGAAACCCAGACTTCGGTCGCCAATCCCCGGGGGCTGCCCGTGGGGAGGGCGACGGCCGTTCAGGGCTCCGTCGCAGCGGTTCCGCTCGGGGAGCTGGGGCTGGGCGGCGGCGCTCCTGGGTTCTCTCCTGGGCTCCGGGGGGACTGGAGCATGCCCCCAACTCAGCCCCGGGCCGGGACCGGGCGCTCGGCGGGCTCTGCACCGGCCCTCGCAGCGCGCAGATCTCCGCTGAAGTCCTGGGACTCCGACCCAGCGCGGTGCAGCACAGCGGGAGCCCCGACTCGGCTCCGTGCGCACCGGCACCCGCCGCCCAGCTGCTCAGGATGACATCAAGTCACCTCCCCCCGCCCGGCCCGCACCTCCCCGCGGGCTGAAAGAGGGGGGCTGCGTCAGGAAGGCCCCGGGGCCGCTGGGAGATGTAGTCCCCGCACCGTTTAAAGTGAGCGGCCTGATCAAAGGGGACACCCTTGAGGGCAGACTTGGGGGGCGAAGGCCGAAGCTTTTGAAGCCCGAGAGCAAAGTGGGATGGGGTTCAGCTGGGGGCTGGAAGCCTGGATTCTGGAAGGGAGGCTGCAGAGGGAAAGAGGAGGGCTTAGAAGTTTGCACCGGGAAAGTGGGGTGATGCCAACACATTGACGGGAAGAAGTCCCAGCGTGCTATGCCAGGCCCACAGATTCGGCCTGGGCCATCTATGCCCTAGGCCATTCCCATAGGAATCCCAGAACCACCCGACACTTAAAAAACCCCTTGGAAACCAGCACTGGACTAGTTAAAAGCCTGGGATGAGTCAGTGCTTGCCGGGAGGGGCGTGGTTCATCAGAGGCTGCTGGGAAATGCAGTCCATCCTCAGGCCTGCAGTCCCCCTCCCGTCCCTTGCTGTCTGTGGTGACATCATGGTCTCGGGTTTAAAGGGCCAGTCCTGGAGTGGCTAAGCACAAGGGGAGAGGTTCTCCCCTGGAGCTGCCACCTCACCCCAGCCTTCCTGGATGGACCTTTCAGACCCCTCGGGCCCTGCGATGTGCTGGCTGGAACAGTATCTCTTGCTCAAAATCCTGCTGCTGGGATGCAAGGCACAGGTGGGAGTCTAGGAGTTTGGCATGCTGACCAAAAGTTCTCAGCCTGCAGTCCTGGACCCGCTTTCTAGGACCCTGGGCCCCAACACTCTTTATAGCCCTGAACTCCATCCCCCTACACTGCTGAGAAATCACCACCCTGAGGTGTTGCCTGAATGAGAAACTGGTCCTTGGTGAGCAGCAGGAAAGGGTGATAAGACTGGATAAGGAGGTCAGGGAGAGGGCTAGGACCGTTCTCAGAGTCTGCCTCATTCTTCTTTGGGCCTTGGTGACCACTCGGTGCTCCAGGGGAACCGCCCAGCCATCCTCGCGGTTGCAGAGGAAGCCTGGGTGCCCAAGAGGTGCCTACCTACCAAAGCAACAGAAGGCAGAGGCCTGCACTGAGGGCTGCGGTTTACCAGGCTTGGGGCCAGAACTCCAGCACCAGAGGCCCAGCAAGTGCTCTGCTTGCTCAGGAACCTCCGGTAGGCCTTGCCCATCCAGTCTTTGGTGTCCTTGTCTGTCCACTGGGAATCCATGATCTCCCTCCTTGCCCACCTCTTCTGCATCCCTGAACAAGCTGAGGGAGGACAGGCCCACAGTGCAAAGCTCTTTGAACGGCTGCACCATAGGCCATACCATAGGTAGAGCCATGGCAACCTGGTGACCCGCACGTACACCTCTGGATGGCCTCCTAGAACTAGAAAGTCTGAAGTAACTGGAAAACCACAAAAGGAGAAGGAATGACAGCCCCTGCAGCACCTAATGGACTTTGAGACATTCTTCCATTGTTCCTTATTCCCACCTCAACTGATAAGGCAACTGGACTTTGTAACTGTCCTTGGTCAACCTCGTGACTCCAGACCCTATGACACCCCCTCCCAGCTTGCCTGAAAAGCCGCCCTGAACTGTAACTTCTGTAACTTTCTGCTGCCTACCCCAAACCTATAAAACCAACTCCTATGCCACCACCCTCCACTGACTCTCTTTTCGGACTCAGCCTGCCCACACCTGGGTGAATAAACAGCCTTGTTGCTCATACAAAGCCTGTTTGGGGGGTCTCCATTCAGAGCGCATGTTTTAACACAGAGCCTCTGCAGCCAGGAAGGACCCGGAGGCCAAGAGAGGAGAAGGGCCTTGCCCAGAGTCACACAGCGTGTCATCAAAAGTTGGGACCAGGGGCCAGGCCTCCACCTCCCAGCTGGCTGCAGCCCACCTCCACAAGCCCCCTGGGTACCAGTGCCCTCGTCTCAAGGCTGCACTGACCACACAGGACTGGTGTTTTATATAAAGGAAGTGCTAAGGCCAGGTGTAATAGCTTACACCTGCAATCTCAATACTTTGGGAAGCTGAGGTGGGAAGATCACATGACCCCAGGAGTTACAGGCTGCAGTAAGCCACGATTGTGCTGTCACACTCCAGCCTGAGTGACAGCGACCCTGTCTCAAAAACAAAAAAACAAAAACCAAAAACAGGTGCTCCATTTGAGAACTGGAGGACTGAAGAGGAGAGGAGAGGCATAAGACTTCTGGAAGGAAGAAAAAGACTTCTGAAGTGGTGGCATTTGAGCTGGGTCTCAAAATACACACAGTGTCACTTGGGGGCTGCAAGGTTGATAATCTTTTTTTTTTTTCTTTGAGATGGAGTCTCTGTCACCCAGGCTGGAGTGCAGTGGCACCATCTCAGCTCACTGCTGCAACCCTCACCTCCTGGGCCCAAGCAATCCTCCTGCCTGAGCCTCCCAAGTAGCTGGACCCACAAACATGTGCCATCATGCCAGTGTAATTTTTGTGTTTTTGATAGAGACAGGGTTTTACCATGTTGCCCAGGCTAGTCTCAAACTCCTGAGCTCAAGCAATCTGTTCGCCTTGGCCTCCTAAATGCTGGGATTATAGGCGTGAGCCACCACAACTGGCGTTTTTGTTTGTTTGTTTTTGTAGTGGCTCAATCATGGTTCACTGCAACCTCTGCCTCCAAGGCTCAAGCAATCCTCCCACCTCAGCCCCAGTCCCGAGTAACTGGGACCACAGGCGCATACCATAACTCTTGGCTACTTTTTTGTGTGTTTTGTAGAGACAGGGTTTCACCATGTTGCCCAGGCTGGTCTCTAACTCATAGGCTCAAGCGATCTTCCCATCTTGACCTCTCAAAGTGCTGGGACTACAGGTGTGAGCCACCATGTGTGGCTTTTACCACAATTTAAACAAAATGCACTAGATTCTGTTATATGCAACAACAGGTATACGTTCAAAACAAAACAAAAAAAGTCACCCATTTTAGTAGCACAATTCAACAGTATTTTTTTTTTTTTTTTTGAGACAGACTCTCTTGCTGTCACCCAGGCTGGAGTGCAGTGGCATGATCTTGGCTCACAGCAACCTCCGCCTCCCCGGTTCAAGCCATTCTCCTGCCTCAGCCACCCGAGTAGATGGGACTACAGGCACGTGCCACCATGCCTGGCTAATGTTTTATACTTTTAGTGAAGACTGGTTTCACCGTGTTAGCCAGGATTGTCTCCATCTCCTGACCTTGTGATTGCCCACCTCGGCCTCCCAAAGTGTTGGGATTACAGATGTGAGCCACCACGCCCAGCCAACAGTATCGTATTTATAGATGAAGTTTCATGTTTTTATAGATGAAGTTTATTTTTTCAGGTATGTCCAGATCCCCCTGTTCTCCAGGCTGCCCCTGCTACCTGGAGGAGCTCCTCTGGTCTTGACACCCAGTTCCCTACCATGTTGCTGGGATCTCCTCCCTCCAGCTCCACCCAGCCTTGAGGGATGGCCTCTCTACATGCATGAAAACCCTTCCCTCTGATAAAACCCAAGCTCTCCACCCAGAACCAAGTCAAAAGTCACAGCCCCCAGGTCACCTCCATGATCCTTTCTTCACCTCAGACGGTGGGCCAAACCTGGGGGAAGGGAGGGGCTCCTCAGGGCCCCTGGGGCCTAGAGCACACTTTGCCTGATGAGGTTTCATGTAATCTAAAGTGGGAGAAAGATCCCACTTTTCTTGGAACAAGAGAATATCCCCTTCACCACCTTTGGAAAGAAAGATCCTCCACCTTAGATTAGGGAGCTCACCCCTGAGCAAAGCCTGGCCTGCCCCGTTTTCTCTCTATGGGGAGGAATTCTGACCTCTTGAGTTGACTGGAATCCAGTTGTCCAGTAGAAGAAGCCCCTGAACGCAGTGTCCAGGGCCACTGTATTTGTTAGAACTGCTGGACCTAGGCCAGGTGCAGGAGCTCACACCTGTAATCCCAGCACTTTGGGAGGTAGAGGGAGGCAGATTGCTTGAACCCAGGAGTTCAAGACCAGCCTGGGCAACATGGTGAAACTCCATCTCTACAAAAATAGAAAAATTAGCTGGGCATGGTGGCATGAGCCTATAGTCCCAGCTACTTGGGGAGGCTGAGGTGGGAGGATTGCTTGAGCCTGGGGGGCAGAGGTTGCAGTGAACCATGATCACGCCCCTGCACTCCAGCCTGGGCAAGAGTGAGATACTGTCTAAA